TATTTAATTACCAATTGTTTAATACTGCAGACAATCATCTGACCCATAGGTGGCAGCCATCTCAAGCCAGAGGACGAGAGGACTCTAGCCGCCACGCATATAAAGGATTTAGAGTGAAGAACTTTGTTTTTACTGGTTATACTTATTTTTGCATTTACCTGTGCCGGTTTTATATAACCTGTGGCCACCTTGTGATGAAACCATCTCGCTCCAGCATCGTACCCCCACCCCTTTGCTGCGCGTTCCTAAGCAGCAGGAGACATCAGTAGCAGCGTTCACTTCGCTCAGACTTCTATAGAAACTCCCACTCCCGATTGTGCTCGCCATCCCCCGGTCTCCTCTCTCTTAGCGACGATCACGGCAGCTCGCTCGCCTCGACCGTGACCCAGAGTCACAGGCTTCGACGGCGTGCTGTGAAATATCGTGCGCGCGTTATGAATTGTATCCTTGCTGTTATTCATCATCATCAGCATCATAAGAGTTGTGGGTGTGTATAAAACAACTATATTTATCACGAGCAGTTTGGAGCGTCATCAAAGTGATTCCATGCTCTGATGAGCAAAGAAGAGGCTGCGCGTGTCTCCCGTTTACAGCCCCGAGACATTGGTGGGAATTCCACATTTCTAGGGCAGGAATGAGCCGCTATTGGTGGACATTCTACATTGGTATGGCAGGGGCCAAGTCTGTCCATTGCAGGTGGTAAGTTTTCGTTTCTGTGAGGTTTGGCAAATACCAGAGGCCTCGGAAGAAACCCGTGTAGAAATAGGGCGTTGTGGATATAACATGCAAATACCAAAGACAAAGACCCCCCGTATAGCCTGTAACAGACTGTTGGGGCAAGTGTTGTTAGGGAGTAGCAGCACCTATGAAGGATGGTGCTGTGGCACACGACGGAGTGACCATCACCCCCCCCCCTCCAACACCCTCACCCGACCCCACAACCCCTCATCCCACCACCCCCACGGCCCCCACCAGCCCCACCACCCAACCAACCCAGCAAACCAACTTAAATAATTTAATTGTCGGACGGAAATATTGGTGAGGAATGCGCGCGACGACGCTGCTGCCAGCCAGGGTGTGACCACCCTCAACTCCCTGCGACTGGGGCAGCCCAGAACATATTTCGCCGCTGATGCAGAGCCACCTGGGGGAGGTGGAGGTAAGTGGAGGTGGAGGTGGGGGGCCTTCGTGTATCGCCGTGGGGGGGAGGAGGGTGACACAACCTGTTCAGGAAATAATTTCAAAAAGTCAATAATTTGTTTCGGCAGAGATTCGCCGAAACACTAAACCCACGCCGGGTCACTAAACCCCAGGACGTGTCGCACCTCCGATTAGGGTGGTTGGCTACGTACGGTGTGAAAGAAGTTCAACATACACACACAGAGACTCGCGCAGAGAACCACCGACTCAACACGGAGACCCATCGTTTGTTGTCATTCCCTTGGCAACTTATTAAGGGGCCGTCCATAAATGACGTCACGCACCTGGGGCGGGGGGGGGGGTCAGACATTTGTGACGATGTGTGACGAGGGCGGGGGGGATTGGAGAAATGTGACGTCACATCAAAATGCGCAACTTGAAATAAATATAGACAACACGTTTCTCCTTAATTATACTTTTTAATAAATGTTTTTTCATACAACATCAGAGTGCAGCGCCACATTAAATACGCACTACAATGACAATAGTTTAAAGCGATTTCAAGCATGTTTTATATTTTTTGGGGGGGGGGGGGGGGGGCAGAGCTTTGTGACGTCATATTTGAGGGGGGGTCTGACTTTTTGTGACGCCGTGTGACGAGGGGAGATTGGGGTCAAACATAGTCCAAAATCGCGTGACGTCATTTATGGACTGCCCCTAAGCGAAATAAGTTCAAAACACACACACGTGGTGCGTGAGCGGTGTACCACGTGGGCAGAGACATTTCGTGTCGTGTCGCTGTTTCTCTTTCTCTGTTAAAGGAGTCCTTAATGTATCTAGATGAGTCCCTGTGCGTCTCTACGTCTCTATGTATCTCGACGTGTCTCTGAGTTTCCTCTGGCCGTGCTGAGATGTTGACTCGGCACGAGGAGAGGGAGAGAGAGACACGCTACCTCCAAATACACAGCAGGCGAGGTAGTTAACATCTCACCATGGGGAAGAGAGAGGCACACAAACTCCAAATATACAGCAGGCGTCAGGGTCGGGATCCAACCCACGACCTCCTGCATACCAGGCGAGGTAGTTAACATCTCACCATGGGAAAGAGAGACACACACACTCTCCAAATATACAGCAGGCGTCAGGGTCGGGATCGAACCCACGACCTCCTGCATACCAGGCGAGGTAGTTAACATCTCACCATGGGGAAGAAAGAGACACACACAAACTCCAAATATACAGCAGGCGTCAGGGTCGGGATTGAACCCACGACCTCCTGCATACCAGGTGAGGTAGTTAACATCTCACCATGGGAAAAAGAGAGACACACACAATCTCCAAATATACAGCAGGCGTCAGGGTCGGGATCGAACCCACGACCTCCTGCATACCAGGCGAGGTAGTTAACATCTCACCATGGGGAAGAGAGAGACACACACAATCTCCAAATATACAGCAGGCGTCCGGGTCGGGATCGAACCCACGACCTCCTGCATACCAGGCGAGGTAGTTAACATCTCACCATGGGAAAGAGAGAGACACACACAATCTCCAAATATACAGCAGGCGTCAGGGTCGGGATTGAACCCACGACCTCCTGCATACCAGGTGAGGTAGTTAACATCTCACCATGGGAAAAAGAGAGATACACACAAACTCCCAATATACAGCAGGCGTCAGGGTCGGGATCGAACCCACGACCTCCTGCAAACAGGTTACTATAACGGCACCATCATCTGGCTAATCAATCAGATAAACCCAAAACTCAAACCGCCACCCAAAAGAAACCGATTTCGCGAGTGGGATTTCCCCCGTTTCTAAATCGTCCCTGACCTCGGCAGCGGCCGGGGCGGGGGGTGTGATGCTGGTGGTGGTTCTCACTTTTCGCAGCGTCTCACGATTCACGGGATATTGAAGGCCTCGTACATGGATTGTCGGTAATGAGGTTGGGGGGGTGGGAGGGGGGCGGTAGATATTATTTATTTATAGACGACAGCGACGAGGTGCCGGCGAGGCTCGCAGGTCGGAGACGCGGAGAGCCGACACCGACGAGATACACCTGGGGGGGTTCCGGTGCGGATGCGGTGCGCGACGATGATCTGCAGCCCGCACCAGTCCTGGGCCCTCTCCCCTATGTCGACTTGGTGCCACGCGTGGACGTCGCCACTCGGGAGACAAAGGCGGCCGGGCGGGCTGTGTAGCTGGCCACCCCCCCCCCCATCACAACACTCGCCCCCAAACATTCTTTTCAGGCTGCACCGGGGTGGGGGAGTGGATCTTTGTATTTTTGTCATCGCTACCTCCTCCACCCATTACAGTGACGTTGGGGCGTAATTTAATTCCTTTTCTCTCTTGCTGTTGTTCGTACCGCTCACGCTGTTCTGGACTTAAAAATAACTTTGTGGTTTAGCCCAACGGCCCGTGGCATCGGGTTGCATTTCACAGCGGTGAGAATTTCATTGCAATTCGAAGCCGAGGAGTCTAGAGCATCCCCCCTCCCTCCCTCCCTCCTCCCCTCCCTCCCTCCCTCACCTCCCCAAGCTCCCCCCTCCACCTCGCCGAGTCTCAGCTGGGCAGCTGTCGCCAAAGTAGAGTTCCTCTCTCTCGTGTTCTCTACATAGAGGTAGAGGGAGGGGAGCAGCTTGCTGTTGTTGTGTTTAGTTTGTTTTCTTCGCACCTTCGACTAACGCGGTTGGCTACGTACGGTGCGAAAGAAGTTCAACACGTATGCACAGATACATAGACTCACGCAGAGACCCATAGACTCACAGAGACCCATGGTTTGTTGTCCTTCCCCATCGCATCTCCCACTAGCGCGGTTGGCTACGTACGGCGTGAAAGAAGTTCAACATATGCACATGACGATGGGTCTCTATGGGTCTCTGTGGGTCTCTGCGCGTCTCTTCCTTCCGATATTTGGAAGCCACTGTAAGCGATACACTTGTAAATCATCATGCAGATTGACAAACTCATCTCTTGAGGACTGCTTTTTGTGTTTTAGTTTGTTGACCTCCCTCCGCATCTGCGATTCGTGCGCTTGGATGCGTACAGTGCTAAACAAGTTCAGTATACGTACAACTGGAGAAGCCATAGAACATAATAATCATCATCATCATCACGATTGTGTATTTGATAAACCGCTGCATTCCTGTATGCCGGGGCAGCTCCGAGCGCTTTACACGCATCGCCAAATGGTCTCGAACATCAACCGCATCAGGATCGGGCATGGCCGATGCAGCCACCCGATTTACAAAATGGGCGCATCGGAAGATTCGGCGGCCCGCTATTTGTGCGGCCACCAATCCCAAACCATCGACCAGCACCGTACACCAGCCGCTGACGCCTTCACGCCTTTTAAAGGAGGAACGGACGAGGAGATCCCCTCTGTGTCCGATCAGACAGTTGAGTGGATAGCAACATCTAACAATGACATCTTTAATTCGCCGCTCTGAATTCATACGAAAGGAGGAGGAGAAGGTTGCATGGCAACAATCGCACTCCTACTGTGGCTCGCATCGTAACTTTCTATTCATGAAAGAGATGTGAGCATCAGCCTTCTGTTGATGGTCAGATGATGCGGTAAATTTATCCACCGGCTGGGTGAGAGGGTGGGTGAGCGAGTGAGCGGATAAGTGAGTGAGTGAGCAGATGAATGAGTTAGCAGATGAGTGAGTGAGCGAGTGAGTGAGTGAATGGATGAGTAAGCGAACAGATGGCGTATATTATAAATATCCGTGGGTGTTCCACTGTGATGTTGACGTTGATGATAATCAAGGGATGATCCAAGACTAATGATGACGACATGGTGATTGATCACTGACGACGACGATGGTGATTGTGCGTGTTTTTGCTTTGTTTAGGAGAGCCAAACAAACATGACCCAAGTTTCAAAGGTCCGGTTTCGAAAAGGTGAGTTCAAGCAACACGTGTGTGTGCCCTCCGACACGATCCCTCTGCTCCCTCTGTTGCCTCTACAGAATGTGCAGGGCAGGCGGTGTTAGTGAGCGCCTATCGAGAGCGGTGCCCGTGTTCGTACCCTCAACGCCACATCTCATACTGAGCCACGGCAAGATCGCCGGCGCGCTAGTAGCGATAGTAGAGTGACCCGGGACGCCAGGTTCATGGCGCAGCGAAGCGCTAACCGCTACACCACCGCTCCCCACTGCACAGCACGCACACACACACACGGACATCGTCACAGCAAACACGACGTTGCCTCCGTAGCCACCCCAACCCCAAACAAGGAAGAGAGAAACATGAAGATTGGAACGCTGCTGGTATGCGACGAGCGTGACGCCATCTCGCCCCCCAGCACTTGTGGAGGCAAAACTGATGCCAGGATTGTGGTTTTGCATAAAATAGCCGGGTGGATGGGTTAGTGGGTGGGTGTGTAGTTGGTTGGGTAGGTGTAGTTGGGTGGGTAGGTGTATTTGTGCGTGGGTGTGTGTCTAGTTGAGTGGGTGGGTGCGTTGGTGGGTGGGTTGGTGAATCGCTGGATGGGTGGGTGAGTGTATTTGAGCGTGGGTGGGTGGGTCGGTGGGTTGGAGGGTGGGTGTAGTTTGGTGGGTGGGTGAATTTGTGGGTGTGTAGTTTGGTGGGTGGGTGGGTGCATTGGTGGGTGGTTGGGTGGGTGCATTGGTGGGTGGTTGGGTGGGTGCATTGGTGGGTGGTTGGGTGGGTGTGTGGTGTGTGGTTGGGTGGGTGGGTGTGTGGCTGGGTGGGTGGGTGTGTGGCTGGGTGGGTGGGTGTGTGTGGCTGGGTGGGTGGGTGTGTGGCTGGGTGGGTGGGTGTGTGGTTGGGTGGATGTCCGTGGATCACGTGGGCAATGAGTGACGCGTTTTCTTCCCATTGGGAGAGGATCGCGGTTCGAGCCCAAGTGGCCGCCCCGGTTAACACCCCATGCACTCTATCGATGGGCATATCCGCCTTTGTCTGTGCACTAGGGGATGCACGGACATCATCTGCTGTGTCCTCTTCATCCTCGTCATCGCCGGCTACATCATCGTTGGTGTTTTGGGTGAGTCTCTGTTGTCTTTGGTCTTCTCATTGTCATCATTGTAATCATCATCGTAATCGTCATCATTATCATCATTATCACCATCATTACCTTCGCTTGTACCATCAGTAATCATCATCACTATCAATACCTGTACCAACGTCGTCATTGTCATCATCATCTGGCAAGAGTAACTGACATCATCATCATCATCAATCTTTCAAACATAATCACTTGTGATTGTCATATGAGCCCGTAAATATCCATCCACTCATCGAGTAGGGTTACTTCTACTGCATCTTCATAATCATCATGAAGATTACGATGATCTTCATCATGATGATTATGGGAGACACGGTGGCGAGATGTTAATTACCTCGCCTGGTATACAGGAGGTCGTGGGTTCAATCTCGACCCTGACGCCTGCTGCTGTATATTTGGAATTCGCGTCTCTCTCTCCCCGTGGTCGCGTTGATTTTTTTCTCCGGGTCCCCGTTCACATTTAAAATCAACGCCGCGCATTTAATCGTATTTGGCCGTTCTAAATGTCCGCACAATGATCATTTGTGATGGCCAGGCTGGTCGCTTCTGAAAGAGAGCTCACGTAGCTCAATGGAGCCTCACCTGGTAAGTAAATAAAATAGGTTTAGTCGTTTTAGTTTATCATCTCCATCATCTAGTAATAGGTTTTTACCCTTTCAACTGGTACAAAACTGACACCTTTATACAAGGCATCATGTTTGCAATAACCACAACACAAGCAGTCAAAATGCAAACAAAAATAATTCTGATGACGATAATGATATGCACTGTCCTTAAAGTTGATTGGTCCACACCCGAGACAGCCTTTTGGCGTCATCTGGTCCAACACCAATGGAGACTAGGCTCTAAGAAAAGCTGTCTCGGGTGTGGACCAATCAACTTCAAGGACAGTGCTTGTGTTGTGGTTATTGCAAACATGATGCCTTGTATAAAGGTGTCAGTTTTGTACCAATTGAAAGGGTAAAAACCTATTACTATATTTTGCCACTGGTAAAGGAGGTCTCATAGTGTAAATCTCCATCATCGTCGTCGTCGTCACTGTCGCCAATTATCGGTTTGCCGTGCCGCCACACGGCGTCTTTGTTGTGACCCCCACCAGCCTGGCTGAACGGCGACCCGCGGAAGGTCTTGTACCCCGTCGACAGCGCCGGTCGCTTCTGCGGCATCGGCTCCATGAGGTCTGCGAAGGAGACGAGCAGCCGGGCGAGCGGCGTCACGCGGCACTCCACAGTTTCTCCCCACAACGTGACGAGTGACGCCGCACATTTCTCGGGTTTCACCCCCTCGGCTTGAGCACGGTGCCTCGTCCCCCTTCGCTAATCCCCTGCGTCTCCTCCGTCTCTCTCCCCGCCCCCTCCCACCCCACCGCATCACTCACCGCCGGCCTCCTTCATACCTCCACCCCACTCACGCGTCTACACCCCGCGTCTTCTCCGAATCTCCCCCCCCCCCGCCCGTCTCCACCACCCCCTCCCCCACCCCGCGTGTCCTCGTGCAGTGACAAGCCATACCTCTTCTACCTGGACATCCTCAAGTGTGCGACGAGCGCCATCACCGTCACCATGCAGTGTCCCACCAAGCAGGTGACGAACGCCCCCCCCCATCACCCCCATGTGACGTTGCCACCCCATGACGTCACCACCATGTGACTTCCCCACCATGTGACGTCACTGACATGTGATAACAAGACACTGTGAAGCAACCGCACTGTGACGTGACCCCCCCCCGTGATTTCACCGCCCTGTGATGTCGCCCTCCCCTCCTGTGAGTGATGTCACCCCACTGTGACGTCACCCCTCTCCCCCCCCCGTGACGTCACCGCGACCGTGCTTTTCAGATATTTTTAAATCCTTTATATTAAGTTCACTTGCTTGCGTGCTTGCTTACGACCGTGCAAATCTTTCGGTCGTTTTTTAACCCACTTCCCGTGATCCAATCGAGCTGACATTTTGCACACTCGTTGTGCGAGACAATTAATGTTCGTGAAAATGTTTTCCTAAATGTTACACTGTTTAGGGAAAACAAATTAAATATTTAATTACCAATTGCTTAATACTGGCAGACAATCATCTGACCCATAGGTGGCAGCCATCTCAAGCCAGAGGACGAGAGGACTCTAGCCGCCACGCATATAAAGGATTTATAGTGAAAAACTTTGTTTTTACGGGTTATACTTGTTTTTACCTTTGGACTCAGTCCAGCAATCAGGAGCACATCCTCGTACGTCACCCATAGCTGGATCACCGTGTGTGCTGTGGTGTTGCGACATTGGGATGATGGTGATGCGGTGGTGACGCTCGCTCCTCACAGCAAACAGGGGCCTGGGTTCGATTCCCTGACTCGGTCGCCCTTTCTGTGCGGCGTTTGTATGACCCCCCTCGCTCTCTGTTCTGCAGAGATGTGAGCATGTAAGTGTGAGTCTGTGAGTGTGTGTAGACTGTATGTTCTTTACGTGTTCTACACGGGAATTCCTCCGGGCCATCTCCGGCTTCCTTCCATAGCCAAATAAGACCGCAGAGTGTAAGCCGGTATTGGCCAACCATACCAACAATGCTAAAAGGGTTGCCGGCAAATCGCTCAAATTGGGATCACGCAGCAACAGCAGCATCATCGCCGTAAAAAAATATATTGTTGGGACTCAAGTGCTCATTACAATTTTACGAATAACAAAAAATATATATATTCTGGAATGGCTGAAACGGGGTCTACGCCTTGTCCTTTTCAGATATGCGTGAAGGAATGTCCACAAACCAACTGGGTACCGACAAGTCTCTCGCTCGCACCCGCTAACGTGTTCAAGCAGGAGTACTGCAGCGTCAACCTCACCACAACCCCGAAGGTGACTCGCACACAACCACGTGTCCGCCCTCGCCACACTGCGGTACCTCTTCTCCACTGGCACATCCGAGCCGTACCAGGGCTGTACCAGGGCCACGGCTCAGAGAGCTGCCAGGTGGTTTTGTCACTGCAGGAACCGAGCTATGTCACTGACGTCGCACAAACACAGTGAACGAGGGGAGACGCACATGGGCCACGCGGTAAAAAACGGAGACCCGCGTGGGTGATACGGTGAAGAAACGGAGACCCGCGTGGGCGATACGGTGAAGGAGCGGAGACCCACGTGGGTGATACGGTGAAGGAGCGGAGACCCGCGTGGGCGATACGGTGAAGGAGCTGGAGATCCACGTGGGCGATACAGTGAAGGAGCGGAGACCCGCGTGGGTGACGCGGTGAAGAAACGGAGACCCGCATGGGCGATACGGTGAAGAAGCGGAGACCCGCGTGGGTGACGCGGTGAAGAAGCGGAGACCCGCGTGGGTGATACGGTGAAGAAGCGGAGACCCACGTGGGTGATACGGTGAGGGAGCGGAGACCCGCGTGGGCGATACGGTGAAGGAGCGGAGACCCGCGTGGGTGACGCGGTGAAGAAGCGGAGACCCGCGTGGGTGATACGGTGAAGAAGCGGAGACCCGCGTGGGTGATACGGTGAAGGAGTGGAAACCCGCGTGGGTGATACGGTGAAGGAGCGGAGACCCACGTGGGTGATACGGTGAAGAAGCGGAGACCCGCGTGGGTGATACGGTGAAGAAGCGGAGACCCACGTGGGCGATATGGTGAAGGAGCGGAAACCCGCGTGGGTGACGCGGTGAAGAAACGGAGACCCGCGTGGGCGACACGGTGAAGGAGCGGAGACCCGCGTGGGTGACGCGGTGAAGAAGCGGAGACCCTCGTGGGCGATACGATGAATGAGCGGAAACCCGCGTGGGCGATACAGTGAAGAAGCGGAGACCCGCGTGGGCGACACGGTGAAGGAGCGGAGACTCAGGTGGGTGACGCGGTGAAGAAGCGGAGACCCACGTGGGTGATACGGTGAAGAAGCGGAGACCCGCGGGGGTGATACGGTGAAGGAGCGGAGACCCACATGGGCGACACGGTGAAGGAGCGGAGACCCTGCGTGGGTGATACGGTGAAGAAGCAGAGACCCACGTGGGTGACGCGGTGAAGAAGCGGAGACCCACGTGGGTGATACGGTGAAGAAGCGGAGACCCACGTGGGTGACGCGGTGAAGAAGCGGAGACCCACGTGGGTGATACGGTGAAGAAGCGGAGACCCACGTGGGTGACGCGGTGAAGAAGCGGAGACCCGCGTGGGTGATACGGTGAAGAAGCGGAGACCCGCGTGGGCGATACAGTGAAGAAGCGGAAACCCACGTGGGCGACACGGTGAAGGAGCGGAGACCCGCGTGGGTGACGCGGTGAAGGAGCGGAAACCCACGTGGGTGACGCGGTGAAGGAGCGGAGACCCGCGTGGGCGATACAGTGAAGAAGCGGAGACCCGCGTGGGCGACACGGTGAAGGAGCGGAAACTCACGGTGGGTGACGCGGTGAACGAGCGGAGGCGCCACGAACCCGGCGACCCCGAGTTCAATTCCCAGTGACGGCCCAGCGCTTCCCCTCGGTCGACTTGGCCTTGAATGGGAACCTGGTGCGATGCGTTGAGACAAAGGCGGCCGGGCGTGGTGCTGACCACTCCACCCCCTCGTGTCCCGTGCCGGTCGGTGATGTTGCAGCACTGCCTCGCACCCTGGTGATTAATCTCCAATCGGTGCGACATTCCCTCTTGCCCGTCCGTTGCAGAACCCCATTCAGATCATTCAAGATGGGGAATGTGCCTACTACCTCGTTGCAAGCGACCCATGTGAGTTCCTGCCTTCCTCCTCTGCAGTCCTTTGCAACAATAATATGCCAGGATGATATACGCGACTATGTCTGCGTGTGCGAGTGAATTCCCCTAAATTGCCTTTGACGTAACGCGACTTTTTTGAGATACGCACGCTTTTCTAGGAAACCACCCACCCTGGGGTGCCCGTAGTAATAATAGTGATAACAATAGCAACATTAATTGTAGTAATAGTGGTAACAATAGCAACATTAATCGTAATAATAGTATGAAGACAGAGGGTTTTGACTCAGTCCATCAGTGGCAGGACAAAGACAAAGATTCCCGCCCCCGTGTAGCCTCAAGCAGAGGCTGTTGGGGCAAGTGCCACTAGCGATCAGCACATTTGAATGCCGGCACTGTGGCACACGAGGGGGTGGTATAGCCAGCAAACACGCCCGGCCGCCTTTGTCTCCCAAGCGGCGAGGTTTATGCTGAGTCGACCTAGAGGAGGCTGTGGTTCAGATTATCGTCACTCGGCGCTAATTGACCATCGGGGTCACCGGGTTCGCGGAGCGGGGCGCTAACCACTGCGCCACCGCTCCCCACCAAGGGAAATGCTCGCAAGCACTTGGTGTAGTTGAAGTTAAAGGCGCAGCGCTGCAATTACGGGCCAAAGCCATTGCTGGCAAAAGGGCCTCCACTGGAGGGAGCTCTAGAGAGAGCCCATCTAACCATAGGATGCTTGGCCTACTCTTCCACACTGGCCAAGATGATGGCGGTTGCTGCTGTTGATGTGATAATTGGTGTATTTCTGAGTTGGATTGTGGATTTAACTCCCCCCCCCTCCTCCACCTCCCTACCTACCTGCGTGACCGTCTCACCCAAGCCAAACTAAATACCAATCACAACATTCGCCGTTTTACGCTGCTGCTGCTTCTACTGCTGTTTATGCTGTAGCTGCAGCTGTTGCTAATGCTGATGTTTCTGTTCCTGCTGCTGTTGTTGCTGCTGCTGCTGTTTCTGCTCCTGCTGTCACTGCTGCTGCTGCTGTTGCCGCTGCTGTTGCTAATGCTGATGTTCCTGCTCCTGCTGCTGCTCCTGGTGTCGTTTCCCGACCCAGTCCTGAACCGTTGCTTCCCGAGGCTCGTCAGAAACTCGTCGGTCACGTCCGTGGGCGGCGGCGAGTCCATCAACATCATCAACAGCTCCGTGTCCGCGGAAAAGTTCCTCTCCGCCTCAAAGTGGGTCCCGTGACGTGGGGCGGTGCAGGGTGGTGCAGGGTGGTGCAGGGTGGTGCAGGGTGGTGTAGGGTGGTGCAGGGTGGTGCAGGGTGGTGTAGGGTGGTGCAGGGTGGTGTAGGGTGGTGCAGGGTGGTGCAGGGTGGTGTAGGGTGGTGCAGGGTGGTGTAGGGTGGTGTAGGGTGGTGTAGGGTGGTGCAGGGTGGTGTAGGGTGGTGCAGGGTGGTGTAGGGTGGTGTAGGGTGGTACAGGGTGGTGCAGTGTGGTGCAGGGTGGTGCAGGGTGGTGCAGGGTGGTGTAGGGTGGTGCAGGGTGGTGTGGGTGGTGCAGGGTGGTGCGGGGTGGTGCAGGGTGGTGCAGGGTGGTGCAAGGTGGTGCAGGGTGGTGCAGGGTGGTGAAGGGTGGTGTAGGGTGGTGCAGGGTGGTGCGGGGTGGTGCAGGGTGGTGCGGGGTGGTGCAGGGTGGTGCAGGGTGGTGTAGGGTGGTGCAGGGTGGTGTAGGGTGGTGCAGGGTGGTGTAGGGTGGTACAGGGTGGTGCAGGGTGGTGTAGTGTGGTGCGGGGTGGTGCAGGGTGGTGCAAGGTGGTGCAGGGTGGTGTAGGGTGGTGTGGTGTGGGGTGGAGCAGGGTGGTGCAAGGTGGTGCAGGGTGGTGCAGGGTGGTGTGGGGTGGTTCAGGGTGATGCAGGGAGTGGAGTGGGTGGAGTGGGAGGAGTGGGATATGGTGGGTGGAGTGGGGTGGGTGGAGTGGAGTGTGGTGGGTGGGTGGAATGGAGTGTGGGTGGGGGGTGGTGGGTGGGTGGAGTCGCGTGTGGTGGGTGAGTGGAGTTGGGTGGGTGTAGTGTGGGTGGGTAGATTGTGGTGTGGTGGGTGGGTTGAGTGAGGTTTGTGAATGAGTCAACCTGGGTTCACTTTGAATAATCCACAGGTCACCTGGGTATGCCCTCACCTCTGCCATAATACCCTCCCGTCCCGAGAGCCACGTCTGGTGGAGGCGCCTCCTGCCAGCAGTGTGGCTTGATCCGGGCACTTGCAGGGCTGCGCCTTTACCTGCCCCCCTCTCTGTGCGAGCGTGCAGGGGGGTTGTGGGGCTACTGGATGCAAGGCAAGTCGGGATGAGAGTCTTTGAGGACTTCGCAAAATCCTGGCACTGGATCCTGATGTGAGTTGGACTGGAGGTGACGATGATTGGTAACGTGTGAGTCTGTGGGTCTCTGTGTGAGTGAGTATATGGGTCTTTGTGTGAGTGAGTTTACGGGTCTCTGTGTGCGTTTATGGGTCTCTGTGTGAGTGAGTCTATGGATCTCTGTGTGAGTGAGTCTACGGGTCTCTGTGTGCGTCTATGGGTCTCTGTGTGAGTGAGTGTATGGGTCTCTGTGTGAGTGAGTCTATGGGTCTCTGTGTGAGTCTATGGGTCTCTGTGTGAGTGAGTCTACGGGTCTCTGTGTGAGTCTATGGGTCTCTGTGTGAGTGAGTCTATGGGTCTCTGTGTGAGTGAGTATATGGGTCTCTGTGTGAGTGAGTCTATGGGTCTTTGTGTGAGTCTATGGGTCTCTGTGTGAGTCTATGGGTCTCTGTGTGAGTGAGTCTACGGGTCTCTGTGTGAGTGAGTCTATGGGTCTCTGTGTGAGTGAGTCTATGGGTCTCTGTGTGAGTGAGTGTATGGGTCTCTGTGTGAGTGAGTCTATGGGTCTCTGTGTGAGTGAGTGTATGGGTCTCTGTGTGAGTGAGTCTACGGGTCTCTGTGTGAGTCTATGGGTCTGTGTGTGTGTGAGTCTATGGATCTCTGTGTGAGTGAGTCTATGGGTCTCTGTGTGAGTGAGTCTATGGGTCTCTGTGTGAGTGAGTGTATGGGTCTCTGTGTGAGTGAGTCTACGGGTCTCTGTGTGAGTCTATGGGTCTCTGTGTGTGTGAGTCTATGGGTCTCTGTGTGAGTGAGTCTATAGGTCTCTGTGTGAGTGAGTGTATGGGTCTCTGTGTGAGTGAGTCTTTGGGTCTCTGTGTGAGTGAGTCTACGGGTCTCTGTGTGAGTGAGTGTATGGGTCTCTGTGTGAGTGAGTCTTTGGGTCTCTGTGTGAGTGAGTCTACGGGTCTCTGTGTGAGTGAGTGTATGGGTCTCTGTGTGAGTGAGTCTACGGGTCTCTGTGTGAGTGAGTGTCTCTGTTTTAACAGTAGAGAGGGGAGGTGGCGGGGCGGGGGGGGGGGGTGCTACCGCTGTGCGTGGCAGTGTGATCCCCATGAAGTGATCTGCCAGATGTAGTGTAGACGAGGTCGCGCCGGCGTTGCCGTCGCATATCCAGTGGCGTTCCATTCGTCGTCGCAGGTGGCTAGGAAATGTTAACTACCTCGCCCGGTATGCAGGAGGTCGTGGGTACGATCCCGACCCGGACGTCTGCTGCTGCTGTATATTTAGAGTCTGTGTCTCTCTCTCTTCGCACCAGCTTCTCATTTGAGGCCGAGTTAACCTAGGGGAGACCCCGTGACTGGCTCGTATATTTCATCACCGGTTCTTGGTGGACGCGAGTGGGAATCGAACTCTGCTTGCCGGGTTCACCTTTCGATTCCCCGCTCACGGCCAACACCGGTGACCGTTATCTGAACCGATCCTGGGCCTTCCCTAGGTCGACTTAGCCCCAAAAAAGTGTACCTGGTATAGTGTATAGCCGTGGGGCGACAAGGGCGGCCGGGCGTGGTGCTGGCCTCCCACCCCCTCGTGCGCCGTGCCGACCTTCATAGGTGCTGCTCGCTAACAACGCTTGCCCCGACAGTCTGTTCAAGGCTACAGGGGGCGGGAGAATCTTTGTCTTGAGCTTCACACATCCTGGAGACGCTCGCAGTAGACGAGACGTTCACACCTCGAGGGATGTCGCTCGACAATGAGGCCCTAGCGCGCACCCGCTGGGCCATGTCGAATGGCGATGACGATAATGAATGATGACGATGATGATGGTGCTGATGATGATGCCGATGACGACGATGATGAAGACGACGACGATGACGACGATGACGACGATGATGACGATAACGACGACGACGATGATGAAGATGTTGATGAGCGTGGGCCGCTGTGTGTTATTTGTTTACAAAGTGGTCTGGCCATCGCGATGGTGGTCAGCCTCCTGTTCCTGCTGCTCCTTCGCTTCACGGCGCCCGTGCTCATCTGGGTCATCATCGTCGGCGTGCTCGTGGCCGGAGCTTACGGTGAGAGAGTGCGCGTGTCCCTGTGTGTCCCTGCGTGTCACCGCGTGTCCCCGTATGAAAAGCGGTTTTGTAGCGGGTCAGCGTGCTGCGCTACGAACCCGGCGACCCGGGTTCGATTCCCACTCACGGCCAACACCGGTGACGATTATCTGAACCGGTCCTGGGCCTCCCCTAGGTGGACTCAGCCTCAAATGAGTCCCTGCGGCATTGTGTAAATATCGCCACTCGGGAGACAAAGGCGGCCGGACTTTGTGCTTTCCACCCACCCCATGATGTGCTGCGTCAGGCCTTCATAGGCACTACTCGCTAACAGCACTTGCCCCCACCGTCTGTTAAGGCTACACGGAGGATCTTTGTCTTTGCGTGTGTGCGTAGGCATCTTCCACTGCTCGTGGGAGTACGTGAACCTCAGCGGAAAACCTGGAGCGGACCAGACCGTGACCGACCTGGGGGTGCAGACGGACTTCCGCATTTACCTCCAGCTCCGGCAAACGTGGCTTGCATTCAGTACGTTCATCGTCACCGTCAGTAGCGACAGAAGTGGCCTAGTTTGTTATCATCATCATGATCGTCGTCATTATTATCACCATTAGCTATTGATTTATCATCATTATCATCTTTTGAGTCGTCATCACCATCATTTGCACCACCATCGCCACGTTACCACCACCGTCACCACTACCACCACCACCAAGACCACCATCATTATCATCCTCATGAGTGTCACTTTACAGTGCATCTGAAAGTGTGCCATGTCGCGACCGCCTTTGTTCGATGGCGAGCTAAAAGCCGCTGCTGCGAGGATGATGCACTTCATTGGCCGCCTGGAATGCTCTTTCCTTTCGATATTAGGAAGCCACTGCGAGCTATGGCACTTTTAAATCACCATCATCGTCATCATCATCGTTTAGATTGACAAACTCATTTCACTACAACTGCTTTTTGTGTTTAGTCAGTTTATCCTTCCCCCGCACCTCCGATTGGCACGTTTGGCTACGTACGCTGGTGCGAAATAAGTTCAGCAAAGACAAAGATATACACACACACACATTGATCTCGGGGGGTACTTTGAGATACATTAGAACAAAAGACATCGTCGTTGAAATTATTCATCATCGGCAGCCACGGCGACGACTCCATCGAGCGTGACGTCGAGAGACAGCGTCGCCTCTTCTTGGTTCTGTCTTATCGACAGACCTGTTCTTCACCTGAGGACGGCTGCTTGCGTTGTGGCCGAAACGTCGTGAGAATTATTTTATTATGTTTTATTTTTATTATTTTATTATTTCCATTCTACGTGACTTTACCGAAAGAACCAAGAAGATGAATCCCTGCAGTCACGAAAGCTTTAAATCGAAAAGACAGCGTCGCGTCCGCTACACATCGGGCGTGTAGCGGATGTGTCGCTACACATCTGATGTGTAGTAGACGCTGTCGTAACACATTGGACGTGTAACGACGTGTAGCAGAGTTGCCGCTACGCATCCGCTACGCATCCGCGCTGTCGACAGAAAGGCAGCGTCCCACCCCCCCCCCCCCCCTTCGTGCGCGTTCACGATCTCTCTCCTCGTTTCCGTCCGCAGTCATCATCCTGTGCATCGTGGAGGTCGTCATCCTGCTGGTGCTCATCTTCCTGCGCAAGAGGATCCTCATCGCCATCGCCCTCATCCAGGAGGCCAGCAGGTGACAACACCCCCCACCCCACCGTCCTTGGGCGGATGCTCGCGCGTTAAATCTCCGCAAACGGAGGGCCTGTTTTATCGTCACACGCCGGGACTGCCACACTTTGATTGCAGTTGCCCCTATTGTCCGTTTTAATGACATTCTTTCAGAATCTTGGACGCTTAAAATATCTTCGGATCGACGGAGCCTAACCGGCTGAAATGTCGCACACACAGACTCGTCGTCATCTCTCGCATGGCAATTCAAGATTTCGTTTAAAGATCCGGTCCACGTTCCACCGCCGATTCTGGGCCTCTTTGCGTTTTTTTAAATTTAATTTTGCATCACACTATTTCAAATATATCTATGCGCATTCTAATTATCCACGTGAATTTTTTTGCAAGATTAACATAAAAAACAAATAAAAATGTTTTTTTGAGATGTAAGAATTGGTTTTAAACTCTTTCTAGCAATATAACAGGTGGTGTTAAGATGTTGCAACACCAAACTGAAACCTTTCGCAAGTAATCCTGTTTGCATTAACCTCAGATACCTGTGGTGAACACGCAAACATAATTCCTTGCGCAAGGTTTCATTATGGTGTTTTAACATCTTAACACCGTCTGTTTCATTTGCCAGAAATGGTCAAACCTATTCTCAGATTCCTTCCCGACTCCGTCCTAGCTAGAGAGGAGGTAAATCGTGGGTGACTCCCTCCTCGCACCGTGGGCGTGGAGGAGAGGTGCCCGTTACCACCTCCCTCACTCTGCCAGGTAGGAGGCGGGTCCAACGCAGTGTGGACTGATCTCCATCTTTTCCGTTTCTGTGTTGATAATGGAACGTGTGCCCCATCCGCCTCTGGCACACACGCGTGTGGGTTTGCTCCAGGTGCTCCGTTCTCCCTCCCACGCGCGCGCAAACGACGCGTTCATCGGCCCAATAACACCTGAATACGTAGAGGACTGCAGAGCTTGGTAGGCGATCGTCGGTGGCGCCATCTCCTCACCACCACGTGGCTGCTGCTGTCTTCCCGCTCCTCGGCTGTGGTTCCTCCTCCGGGCGCCTCCTCTGAGTCGTCCTCTCTCTCTCTTTTAATAATAGTAATTATTATGATGATGTTATCTTGGTCTTTTTTCCTGCAGGGCCATCGGACACATCATGTCGTCCATCTTATACCCCGTGCTGACGTTTCTCCTGCTCTCCGTGTGCATCGCGTACTGGGGAGTCACCGCACTGTATCCTGCACTGCTGGCCACAAAGACAAAAGGGGCCCTGCCACCCCCGCAGGTGCTGGCTAGCAGCACTTGCGGGGCAAGTGCTGCGAGCCAGCACGGTGCACGCGGGGGGTGGGGGGGGGGGGGTGTGGCGGTCATGCTGCACACGCGGTTTACTGTGACGATGACGATGGCAATTACGATGGTGATGACGATGGTGATGACGATGGTTATGACGATGGTTATGATGGTGGTGACCATTCTGTCTCAACCGTGCTAGTATTCAACCACCACATCCCACAGGTCCCAACAACATCCACCCATCCACACACTCACCCACCCACCCACTCATTCGCACCCACTCACCCATTCGCACACTCACCCATTCGCACACTCACCCACCAACCCATTCGCACCCACTCATCCATTCCCACACTCACCCACCCACCCATTCGCACACTCACCCATTCGCACACTCACCCATTCGCACACTCACCCACCCACCCATTCGCACCCAATCACCCATTCGCACCCACTCACCCATTCACACCCACTCACCCATTCGCACACTCACCCATTCGCACACTCACCCATTCGCACATTCACCCACCCAGTTGCACCCACCCACCCATTTGCACCCACTCACCCATTTTCACTCAGTCACCCATTCGCACACTCACCCACCCGCCCGTTTGCACTCATTAAATCACATTCACAAGCCCTACCCCTCCCACCCCCGCACCAAGAGTGACCTGGGTCACCACAAGTACGCGGCTGTAAAACTTTCCAGCCGCGCCCCCCCCCCCCCCCCCCGGGCTCCCCCGCTTGTGCTGAGGTTCACTTGGTACGTTCCAGACCTAGCAGTGGGGTGATGGGGATGGGAGTTGTGTGGGTGGTGTGCTAATGAGCTCTCCCACTAATTCCCATTCCCAGCCCTCCCCCCCCCCGGTGGGGGTTGGGGGGGGGCAGGGTAGCGACCCCGAGCAGCCGCCCGTCTGCGTGTTTATTTATTTATCTATTTATTTTCCTGAGCGGTTTTCCGCCGATCCCCGCAGATACCTGGCGACTGCTGGCACCGCCACCTACAAGGTGGCGTCGCCGGGCAATTACAGCTCGCCGGCCTGCGCCGATTGGAACACCAACACCACCCCGTGCACGCCCAACGAGGTGAGTCGACAACAACAACAACAACAGCAACAACAACAACAGCAGCGACGACAACTGCAACGGCGCCGATGTTACACACGCACCGCACCGGGGAATTCATTTCGGGCTGGGTCGACCTAAACGGAGGGCCCAGGACCAAGTGGATGTGCTTGTCCACCACTGTTTTTTCGTGGGCGGGCAAATCGAACTCGGGTCCGCCGGGTTGTGTGGCGCGGTGCGCTTACCACTGCGCCACCGCTTCCCCCTAGGTATGCTACGGCACACAACAATAATACCAACACCACTAAGTGGCGGTGATGCCACCACGGCGCTTGTGCCAGGCTAGGTGCACTTTGAGGCCACGTGAAGTGTCGAACGCCCGCTGACAGGAGGTCACGGGACAGACCCAGCAGGTGCCATGGGTCGACTGAAATGACTGGCTGATGCACCACCTGTGCCCCTTACTTTGGCAACTTGCTGCGTTTTCGCTGCCCGGCGCTCCGCTCGTTGTTGTGAGCGTCGCTCCTCTGCCCTTCGTTGTTGTTGGAGGGCGACTGCCTCCAACTGCCCACTAGCAGCGTCCTCCACGAGCCTCCTCCACAGAGGCCGATGTTGACATGGCTGGTACCAGTCATCGGCAAGTCCACTCAGCTCCATGTCCCCTCTGGCACACATCACTCCATCTCTTCTCTAGCCTGTGCCACGCCCATTTAGCCCCCTCTATCCTGCCGAACAAAAGCTGTTCAGGCATGCGGTGGCTGGGCATGCAGTGACTGGGCATGCGGTGACTGGGCATGCGGGCTACATGACCCAGCCAATGCAGCCTGGTCTGCCAGAGGAGCTCACTAATGGAACTTTGTCCAGATCTTTCAAGGATTTGTGAGCCCCTCACACAATCCAGCCTGGTTAACCTAGGATGGATCGTAGGCAGGCCATCCTGAATGTTTGTAATCGACGAAGATGTTCCATAATGGGGAGTCCACTTTCACAAGCATAGAGAAGGGAGGGCAAGGCCATGGCCGAGAAGAACCAAAGCTTCGTGTGGAGCGGCAGACCAGGTAGCTTCCACACAGTGTTACGCAACCGATGAAAAAATACTGTTGGGGCAAGTGCTGTTAGCGAGTAGCACCTTTGAAGACCTGCACGGCACACGAGGGGGTGGGTGGCCAACACCACGCCCGAACGCCTTTATCTCCCCAGTGGCGATGTTTACACATTGCACCAGGTACTCATTTGAGGCTTAGTCGACCTAGGGGAGGCCCAGGACCTGCTCAAATAATCGTCACCGGTGTTGGCCGTGTGCATGAATCGACCACTAGGTTGCTGGGTTTGTAGCGCAGCGTGCTAACCGCAGCACACACACACACGTGCGCACACGCACGTACACATACACACGTGCACATACACGTGTACACACACACACACACACGCGCGTTGAACAGTTATCTGCTGCCACCCGCATGTGAGATGAGGGAAGGTCACCTGCCCAGTAGAGCACTTGGCCCTTGAGCCGAGTGGGTTGGTTGATCCCACCCGGGGTGGACAATTCCACCATTCACCACCGGTGGCGTTCACAATGGGCATCGTTCACCACCTATGAACAATGGGCAGTGTCCACCAAGGGCAATGTCCATCACGGGAAGTGTACACCATGGGCTGCGTCCACCATGGGCAATGTCCACCACGGGCAGTGTCCACCACGGGCAATGTCCACTCACGGGCAGTGTCCACCCATGGGCAGCGCCCAGCGTAGGCAGCATCCACCACTCACAGACCCAATGCCCACTTGTGTCCACGCACAGGGATGGAAGTGGAACACGACCGAGTGCCCGGACGCTCAGTGCGTCTTCGACACCTACGGCCTGGACGACAGCCTCTTCAAGCGCAACCTCTTCAACCTGCAGATCTACAACGTCTTCGCCTTCCTGTGGCTCGTCAACTTCGTGCTTGCGCTGGGCGAGTGCTCGCTGGCGGGGGCGTTCGGCTCGTACTACTGGACCCTCAACAAGAGGGACATCCCCGCGCTGCCCGTCACGCGCGCCTTCATGCGCGCCGTGCGGTGAGGCAGTTGCGACGACGATAATGATGATGTTGACTGATGATCACGACGATGATGACGACGATGATGATGATGTGGATGACGATGATCATGACGAGGACAACGATGATGATGTTGATGACGAGGACGACGATGACAATGAATATTCTTATCTTTCATACTTTGATGCTGGCAAACAATTTCAATAAATATTACTGCGACTGCTGACCTGAGCTATAAATGCATTGCCTTTTGGATTACTCGCCTTTTGGCGTTGTTTTCTGGTCTAACACACGAGGCCATGAAGAAGGCTGTCTCTGGTGTAGGCCCATCAGTTTCAAATACAATGCATGTTTGTTTGCATGTGTGGTTAATGCAGACTTTATTCCTTGCAAATGGGTGTCTATTTGGCGTTTGAACATCTTAACACCACCTGTTTCATTGCCAGAAAGACTAAGACCTCTTCTTATTTTTCAAGCAATTATCACAAGTCGCCAGCTTGCGGCCGCACATGTGGCACTGAAGCTGTTGATGCCGGCTGCTGCCTGCTGCTGCTGCAGCTGCACGTGTGTTGATTCTTCGCTTTGATTTCCTTTATCAAGAGGGAGGTTCAACCACTGGCCCTGCCCCTTCCTCTTTAGCCCCCGCCCCTTACTCCTTAGGCCCCACGCTGCCCCCTGGACACACCTCACGGGGTGGGGCTGGATCGGGCAGTGGTGGGTGGGTGGGGTCAGTGAGGGGTAGGGGGGCGTCAGTGGGAGGTAGGTGTAGGTTCAGTGGGGGTAGTGGGGTTAGGGGCTGGATCATTGGGGGGTAGTGGCACGGTCAGTGGGGGGTAAGGGGGGGTCAGTGGGGAGTATGGGGGGTCAGTGGGGAGTAGGGGGGGTTAGTGAGGGGTAGGGGTGGGGTCAGCGGTGGTAGGGGCGGGGTCAGTGGGTGTTGGGGTTCTGTGACTTCACCCCGATGACCAGAATCCCCTCCGCCTTCGAGCAGCAAGCGTACAAAATATTAGTTTTTAGTTTCGTGAAATGACGTCGTTCATGCAAATTGAATCTCCCAATCGGGAGGTTGCTTCATCGGAGACGGAGCGACAGTCAAAGTAGCTCGCGTGCAGGTTTCTGGACGGACCGTTGCGTTGCGAGCAGCGGATTTGATCGTGGCTGGTGATTGGGACGAGCAAGCCGTTACGTGCCTGTCTCCGCAGGTACCACACGGGCTCTCTGGCCTTCGGTGCTCTGATAATCACTATCATTCAGATGATCCGGATCTTCTTGGAATACCTGGACCACAAGCTCAAAGGTATGGCAGCCGGGGGTGTTATGTCGAGGCAATGCGGTGTTCATTTTCACGAAACGCTCAACGTTTCAAGTTAATTTCCATCAGCCAGGGGAGGAAGCGAGACCAAGATGAGTTTCAAGAGTGACCTGGTTGCGTGAGAGTGGGTGAGCAAGTAGATGGGCGGGTGAGTGGGTGCGTACTTGAGTGGGTAAGTGAGCGGGTGGGTATGTGAGATGGTGGGTGAGTGAATGCATGAGTGGATGTGTGAGATGGTGGGTGAGTGAATGAGTGCATGAGTGGGTGAGTGAGTAGGAGGGCAAGCGAGTGGGTGGGTCAACGAGTGGGTGAGTAGGTGAGCGAGTAGGTGGGTGAGCAAATGGGTGAGCGAGCGAGTGAGTGACTTTGTGGGTGGGTAAGTAAGTGGATGAGTAAGTGGGTGGGTCAACGAGTGGGTGAGTGGGTGAGCGAGTGAGTGAGTTTTGTGGGTGGGTAAGCGAGTGGTTGAGTGAGTGGGTGTATCTACAATCCACCAGCTGTTGGACAAAGCAATGGAATTGCTCACTCACTTTGAACTGAACCTCTAAGAGTCGCTCTTCATTGGTCATCGGAAATCATGATCACTATCGATCCACTGCTGGATACTTTGTACAGCCCTTGACAACGTGCCGTGTAGAACTTAGAGGCCGATGATGATGTTGTTGTTGATGGTGTTGAAGAAATCTTCAATTCCTTTCAGGTTCTCAAAACCGTTTTCTCAAGTTCCTGCTGTGCTGTCTCAAGTGTTGCTTCTGGTGCCTCGAGAAGATCATGAAATTCATCAACAGGAACTGCGTACATCATGGTGAGAGCCCCTGCCTCAAATCCCACGACCCTCCTCCAGGAGGGATCCTGCCGGTTGTTGACGAGCAAAGGGGCGTGATCTTGTTGTCGCCGCTATCGCCGCTGTTGCTGCTGTTGTGTTTGTGATGGCAATCGAGTTAATTTTTGGGCCATTTATAAATTTCGACTGATACACGGATGGGACACAAAGGACACACAAGTCAGACAGACAGACAGACACACAAACACGTGGACAGACACACAAACACATGGACAGATACATGGACGGACACGCAGACAGATACACAAAAACATGCACAGATACCATTACCAATACCCGCCATTTGCCACGAAGTGACGGTGATGTCACGGTGCCTGATCCCAGCCCAGGTGCACTTTGAGGCCACGTTAAGTGTCGTGGAACAGACCCAGCAGGTCCCATGGGTTGGCTGACTGAAATGACTGGTAGTAGATGCACCAGCTGTACCGCCCCACTGTGCCACCCGATGCTCCGCTCGTTGTTGTGAGCATCGCTCCTTTGCCCTCAGGTGTTGTTGGTCACCACCTCCAACTGCCCTGTACCAGGTCCTTCATGAGCCTCTTCCATAGAGGCCGAACTTGACATTGCTGGTACCAGTCTTCGGCAAATCCACTCAGCTTCACATCCTCCCATACCGCACCAGTCGATCTCTTCTCCAGCCTGTGTCGTGCCCGTTTAGCCCTCTCTATGCAGACAAACAAAAATCTGCTTGGGCAGATTTCGGTTTGGCTGCTGGAGGAGCTCATTGATGGGGATGTGTCCAGATCTTTCAAGGATTTGTGAGCTCCTCACACAATCCAACCCGGTTAAACCCAGGATGGATTGTAGGGCATGCCAGCCTGAATGGTTCTAATCGGCGCAGATGTTCCATTAGTAACCACCACCACCAGCAGCACCACCACCACCACCATGTCCTTATCTCGCACACCTTCCACGGTATGCCGTGTGCTGCCAGCCCCTTGGCGTTCTGTGGGAACTTTTATCCGGTGACCATGGTCAAAACTCTCCTCTCTCCCCTCTTACCCCCCAACCCCTTCCGCAGGTCGCAATCTACGGGAAGAACTTCTGTGTGTCGGCAAAGAACGCGTTCAAGCTGATCATGAGGAACATCCTGCGGTGAGGAATTCAAACTATAACTTTATTTTATTTGATGTGCTACGTAGCTCTTCTTTTCAGAAGCGAACTGGCAATCACGAATGATAGCTCTACAGAAATAGCTCATCATCATCATCGCGTGGACATTTTTAGCAGCACCCAAATACTTTAAACGCGCGACGTCGATTGTAAATGCGGAGGGGGAAAAATCGGAGGACCCGGTAATGGAAATCCACGCGACAGTGGGGAGAACACGCAGACTCCAAATATACAGCAGGCGTAGATGGCCTCCTGCATACCAGGTGAGGGAGTTCATATCTCACCCTGGAGGGTGGGGGGTGTGAGGGGGAGCGGGGTTGGTGGGGGGGGGGCATTCAATGGAGCTGGAGTGCTCTGCTGTCAAGGCACGCGGTGCCTCTTCCCGGCCGGCGTGTTTGCACGGGGCCAACGTGACGTCACGCGCCCATTGTGACATCACTCACAGTTGTGACGTCACGCGCCCATTGTGACGTCACGCGCCCATTGTGACGTCACTCACAGTTGTGACGTCACTCGCCCGCCTCGGCCAATGAGTGCTCGCACACGTGTCGCGTTTCTGCGAGCGCTCCTCCTCCTTATTCACCCCCCTCCCCCCTCCCTAACCTACCCTCCTGCACCCCCTCCCCCCACTCTTCTGCCCCTTCCAATTGGCTGAATTTTGACGGTACCCACCCAACTGTGGTGCTGGTCACCCACCCACCCATCCACCCCCTCGTGTGCCGTGCAGGCCTTCATAGGGTGCTCACTAGCAGCACTTGCCACAACAGTCTGTTAAGGCTACACGGAGGGATCTGTGTCTTTGTCTGTATTGGACACGTACATTTGAGGGGGGGGGGCGGAGAGTGGTGGTGCAGCGGTTAGCGTGCTGCACTACGAACCCGGCAACCCGAGTTCTATTCCTGCCCATAGCCAACGGCGATCGTGCAAAACTTCTAGGTTGATTAAGCCTTAAACAAGTACCCGGTACGGTGTGGTGTGTGTGTAAACGTCATCACTAGGGAAGACAAAGGCGGCCGTGGGTGGCCGCTGGCCACACCGCCCCCTCGAGTGCCGTGCCCGGCCTTCATGGGTTGCCGCTACTCGTGAGCGGCACTTTGCCCCAACGGTCTGTGGGGGGCTACACGGGGGATCTTTGTCTTTGTCGTCACAGGACGTTGGTGCTGGACAAAGTGACGGACTTCCTCCTCCTCCTGGGAAAACTCCTGGTCGTCGGGGGTGTTGGTGAGTGGACATCATTTTCGCCATCGTCGCCATCATCGTCATCATCATCATCACAGTCATCAATGTCTTCATTGTCATTCGTATCATCATTGTTGTCATCATCATCATCATAATATCCATCATCATCATCATCATCATCGACAGTTATCAATGTTTTCGTTGTCAACATATAATTATTGTTGCCATCATCATCAGTGGCAGCTGTCCCCTGCTCATGAGTGTGCCAGTAGGGGCGGTAATGATTGCCCCGCTCTCTCTCACCTCCACGCTCCCACAGGAATCCTGGCGTTCTTCTTCTTTAGCAACCGCATCCAAATCCCCAACCTGACGCTGCCAACGCTCAACTACTACTGGATCCCCATCCTGGTGAGACACTGGCTAGCGGATCCTTGAGTCCATCCGTGTGTGTCATGCTTGTAAAGGAACCCCCTCCGGCAGAGGCGGTGCGCCGTGAATGGTCGGGGGGGGAGGGATGGCAGTTCAGCAAAAAAGTGCAGCCCAATTTCAAATCATCCGTTTAACACGCAGTAGTCCGGCTTTAGCAACTAATATCATCCACAGGGGTTTTCCCCTGGCAACTAAACTGGCAACTAAACTGACACCTTTCGCAAGGAATCATGTTTACATTAACCACAATACTTGCAGTTAAATGCAAACAAAAAACAATACTCTGATAATTTATGCATTGTCCTTGAAACTGATTGATCCACACCAGAGACAGCTTTCTTTAGAGCCTAGTCTCATATGGTGTTCGACCAGATGACGCCAAAAGGCGCACAGTTCCAAGACAATGCACTATCAGAGTAATGAGTATTGTGGTTAATGTAAACATGATTCCTTGCAAAAGGGGTCAGTTTTGTTGCAAAAAAGGGGAAAACCCCTATTAGTATATTTTGGTACTGGCAAAGGAGGTCCCATGAAATATCATCCACAGTAGAGGTTCTTTTGGGTTAGATCTCGTGAATATATTAATGCGTCGTTAAACCCGCCACCACCCGACGCAGCCAATTAGTAAGGTTTGTCACGTAAACAGAACGTGGCCAATTCCTTTCTAGTACATCACACACCGCTCTCTCTGAGTCCCCCCTTTCTCTCTCTTTCTCTCTCCGAGTTGCCCACTCTCTCTTTCTCTTTCTCTCGCCGTGTTCCGAGTTGAAGTCGTCATTGCTTTGTCCGTGCAGACCGTGATAGTGGGGTCCTACCTCATCGCTCACGGCTTCTTCAGCGTCTACTCCATGTGCGTCGACACGCTCTTCCTGTGCTTCCGTAAGTACTGCGCTCGACGCACACGCACGCTTTCATGCACGCACACACACGTGCTCTCATGCACACACACGCTCGCACGCACACACACACGTGCTCACACGCACGCACACACACTTGCTTGCACACACACGCTCGCACGCACGCACACATTCGCACGCTCGCACGCACACACACGTGCTCGCACGCACGCACACACACACTCGCTCACACGCACAAACACACACTTGCTCGTGCACACACACGCTCGCGCACACACACACACACACGTGCTTGCACACACACGCACGCTCGCTCGCACGCACACACACGCACGTGCTTGCACACACACACGCACGTGCTCGCACACACATGCCCACATGGCCTTAAAGTGCACATAGCCTGGCACAAGTGCCGTGGTGACTGCTACTTTGTGGCGAATGGCGGTGGTTGTTGTGTGTGTCACAGGGTAGTTGTGTGTGTGGAGCGGTAGTGTAGTGGTTAACACGCAGCGCTACAAACCCAGCGACCCGAGTTCGACTCCCGCTCACAGCCAACACTGGTGACGATTATCTGAACTGTTCCTCGGCCTCCCCTAGGTCGACTCGGCCTCAAACGAGTATCTGGTGTGGTGTGTAAACATAGCCACTAGGGAGACAAAGGCGACCAGGCGTTGTACTGACCACCCACCCATGCACCTCGCGTGCCGTGCCGGCCTTCATAGGTGGAACTCGCTAACAGCACTTGCCCCAACAGTGTGTCAAAAGCTCTATACGGGGGATCTTTGTCTTTGTGTGTGTCAAGGGTAGCCGATGTAACTTGTCTCATACCCGGGTCATTGATTGTGACGTTGAACGCTAACCCTGCCTGCTCTGCCTCTCCCTACCGCCGCCCCCATCACTGCCGCTACCGTCACCACCACCACCACCGTCACAACCACCACCATCACCACCACTATCACCGTCACAACCACCACCATCACCACCGCCACCACCGTCAAAACCACCACTACCACCACCGCCACCGCCACTACCACTACCACCAACCACCATCACCACCGCCACCACCGTCGCCGCCACCACTACCACCACCACCGTCGCCACCACCACCACTATCGCCACTACCACAACTGTTGCCATCAACACCACCGTCGCCACCACCCCCACCATCACCACCACCGCTACCACCACCACCATCACGACCGCCACCACCATCGTCGCCACCACCACCACTGTCGCCACCACCGTCGCCACCACCGTCGCCACCACCACCATCACCACCACCACTACCACCACCGTCACCACCACTGTCACCGCCGGCGATCGTCCAGTGGATGACCTGGAGAGGAACGATGGCTCGGCAGAGAAGCCCTACTACATGTCCAAGAAGCTGATGAAGATTCTGAACAAGAAGAATAAGAATAAGGCCAAGTAGGCGTTGGGAAGGGGACGGGGGGTCGGTGGATCGCTTGAGGATGGGAGGACTCATCTGGGCAATGTGTGTCAGTGTGCCAACAACCGCCTCCACCACTCCCGCACCTCCTCCCTGATGAGTGAATGCTAAACCTCCCCCCCCCCTCCACCTTGCTCACTTTCCTCCGAAAATTATCGCGTCAATTTAATTACATTATTCGTTATTGTTGTTTCGATTTAAAGCTTTCGTGACTGCAGGGATTCATCTTCTTGGTTCTTTCGGTAAAGTCACGTAGAAGGGAAGTAATAAAATAATAAAAATAAAACATAATAAAACAATTCTCACGACGTTTCGGCCACAACGCAAGCAGCCGTCCTCAGGTGAAAACCAGGTCCGTCGAGGCGACAGAGTCTGAATGAAACAGCACACGAGCTTGGAGCATATATATATGCTGGGCGCATTGACAAAGGAATTTGCATATCAAAATGAATTTAGCATATTTATGGGAAATGCAGGAATGTGATTAGTGCATATGCATATGCAGTACTAATCACATTCCTGCATTTCCCATAAATATGCTAAATTCCTTTTGATATGCAAATTCCTTTGTCAATGCGCCCAGCATATATATATGCTCCAAGCTCGTGTGCTGTTTCATTCAGACTCTGTCGCCTCGACGGACCTGGTTTTCACCTGAGGACGGCTGCTTGCGTTGTGGCCGAAACGTCGTGAGAATTGTTTTATTATGTTTTATTTTTATTATTTTATTACTTCCCTTCTACGTGACTTTACCGAAAGAACCAAGAAGATGTTATTGTTGTTATTATCATGATTTTTAACTGTCACCCATCACGGTCCTGGGCCTCCCCTAGGTCGACTCGGCCTCAAATGAGTACCCGGTGCGGTGTGTAGTAAACATCGCGTGGTGCTGGCCACCCACCCCCTCGTGTGCCACAGTGCGGGCCTTCATACGTGCTGCTGCTCGCTAACAGCACTTGCCCCAACAGTCTTTTCCAGGCTACACGGGGGTCCTTTGTCTTTCTTTTCGAGGACTACGCCGCATATCCGACTCGACGGGATGGGGCGGGTGACGGATGGAGGTACCGGGTGGACATTGCCAACAGCGAGTCGGATAACTGAACACCACGGTTGCACAGCGGTGTACGCCCTGGCGAGATGTTAACTACCTCGCCTGGTATACAGGAGGTCGTGGGTTCGATCCCGACCCTGACGCCTGCTGCTGTATATTTGGAGTTTGCGTGTCTCTCTCTCTCTCATCATCATCATCACGGTGGCTAGGAGATGTTAACTACATCGCCTGGTATGCAGGAGGACGTGGGTTCAATCCCGACCCTGACGATGCCTGCTGCTGTATATTTGGAGTTTGCGTGTCTCTCTGTCCTCCGGGTCACCTCCGGACCCCCCCCCCCCATCCCCTTGCATGCGTGGGGTTTTCTCCACGTGCTCTGGTTTCCCGTCGCGTGTATAGAATCAGTTGTGTTGGCCACACGTCGCAATATAGGATGGCAGAGCTTGGGCAGTTTGCTGGTGGCGCCAGTCCTGGATGCTTCCCGGTCTCACATTCCGAATCATTCTCTGGTTGTATTTCCTCCTTTACCTCTTTTCTCTCTGAGAAGATGAGAGAGAGAGAGAAAAGGAGAGAGACAAAGAGAGGAGGAGAGAGAAAGAAAGAATAGTCGAGAGGAGGTGGAAGGAAAACTGTGCATATGTTACATATTCTGATTAGTAGTTGTATTGTTGTTGTTCGTACACGGGTAGCACGCTTTTGTGTGAGCTAGATGTTTTAACGCGCGTGTCGTTTACAAATCGTGTGCCCGCACTTGCCGACTGCTGGCAGGACCGAGTGTGAGCCGAGAGGGAAAGGAGTGAGTGGGATTTCGAATGAATCAATTACGGGCAAATCATTCTATCGGTTTCCGTAAATCTGCATGTCGGCAGTTTCAAGTGGTTATTTAATTGCATGGGAATACGCCGAAAGAGGAGGCAAATAGTTGTTAGGTCTTTCGTGATCAGTAGGAATGAGCTACCAATGAACCTTTCGCACATTTGCAGGGCCTAAAATTTTAGATTTTATTTCATATTTTCGCATGTTCAGATGGATAAGCGTTGCATTTGAATAACTTAAATTATTGATGGGCGATTCTTTTTGTATGATTGATTATTTTGTGAACGTCAAGCACTGCTTTGGCCACTCAATTTAACCTTTTAATTCAGAGTCACGACAGTAAAAAAACTATTTAAACATTTAAAAGTTTCAATTATTTAAACACGTGGGCGACATTGCACGATTTGGTAATTTTGACAGTAAAATCACGGATGTGCCCACATCGCTTCCCCCGCTGTGCTTGGAGACGCAATCGTGCATTGTCCAACAGCGTCAAAAGGTCCCCTCTGCATAGCCCATGCAGACTTTTGGGACGCGAGCGCTGTTGGTGAGCGGCAGCACCGGTGAAGGCCGGCACTGCGGCACACTCCGGGGGTCAGCGCCACACCCGGTATGACCTCTGTCTTCCCGAGTCGCGATGTTTATTTAACACACCGCACTACGTACTCGCTTGAGGCCGAGTCGACCTAGGGGGGGAGTCCCAGGAGCGGTTTGGATAATCGTAACCTGGTGTTGGTGGCTGTGAGCGGGAATCGTTGGGTCATAGCCGGGCTCGGAGCGCAGCGCGCTAACCATTACACCGCCCCATAATCCAACAACCGCCATACACACGGCGTCACACACACGGCGTCACACACACGGCGTCACACACACGGCGTCACACACACGGCGTCACACACAGCGTGTCACACAGTGCGTCACACAGCGCGTCACAACAACAACTGCCATTCGCTACTAAGTGGCGGTGACGTCACCACGACGCTTGTGCCAGGCCATGTGCACTTTAAGGCCACGTGAAGTGTCGAACGCCCGCCGGCAGGAGGTCACGTGACAGACCCAGCAGCGTGCCATGGGTCGACTGACTGAGATGAGTGGCCGATGCACCACCTGTGCCCCTACTGTGCCAATTTGATGCGTTTTAGCCGCCCAACGCGCTCCGCTCGTCATTGTGAGCGTCGCTCCTCTGCCCTCCGTTGTTGCTGGAGGGCGACTGCCTCCAATATCCCAGTAGCAGCGTTCTTCACGAGCCCTCCTCCTCCAACACACACACACACACGTATATAAATTACACACGGCATGATTGTAAATAGCAACGCAATCATCGTTCTTTGGCAGCTGGCAATGTCGAGAAATTAAAGTCCCCCCGCATTCATCGGTGTAGCTAGATGCCATCACCTTTTAACATTACATCAACACCGTTTGACCTCGTCATTAATTGCGATTGCTTGGGGTACCACGGTGGCCAGATGTTAACTACCTCGCCTGGTATGTCGGAGATCGTGGGTTCGACCCCCGACCCCCGACGCCTGCTGTGGATTTTTCCTTGGCGTCCGGTTTTCCCTCATCCACATTTAGAATAAACGTCACGCGGTTTCGGGTATTTGGCTGTCATAAATGTCCACGTGGTGGTGATGATGATGACGATGATGACGACGATGACGATGATGACGACGACGATGACGATGATGACGACGACGATGACGATGATGACGACGACGATGACGACGATGATGACGATGATGACGACGACGATGACGACGACGATGATGACGACGACGATGACGACGATGATGACGACGACGACGACGATGACGACGACGATGATGACGATGATGACGACGACGACGATGATAACGATGATACGATGATGACGACGATACGATGATGATGATGACGATGATAACGATGACGACGATGATGACGATGACGATGACTGATGATGATGACGATGACGATGATGACGACGACGACGATGACGACGACGACGATGACGATGATACGATGATGATGATGACGAGCCACTTCCGTTGAGCCATCATTTGTGACAGCCACGTGGTCACTTTTGAAAAAGAACTACCGTAGCTCAGTGGGGCCTTACCGGGTGAACTAAACAAATAGTTTAGCTCAGTGCATAGTTTGCATGATCCATCATTGCCGTCGGTATTGTCAATCATAACTGTAAGCAATCCACCATCATCATTCAGTGGAATTATCAATCATGCCCGTCGTAACCATCCACAGCATCCATCTTCATCGTCATCATCAACAGCAACAGCGGCATTCACAACAATCGTCGTCACACTCAGCATCATCCAACGGCGTGATCATCATCATCATCACGGCCATCGTAACGTCCATCACCATCACTACTTGCAGAATTTTCCAAAGTCATCATCATTATATGCGTCCACCATCATCCTTAGTCGGCACACCCGGGATGAATCCATTGCACCACAGTTGGGCCATCAACTCGACTCCGAGACGTATTTCCAGCTTTTGGAAGAGTAGGCCAAGCACCCTCCACTTCTTCTGGGCAGGGGGGGGGCGTTGCCTGGAGCTCTGCTTCTGTCTCTCGGTGGGCGAAGGCCATTTCCGCTGAGCAGTGTCCGCCAGCAGGGAACTTGCAGGGCTGCGCTTTTACCCTCCGCCCACACGCGTGGCTGCCTTTACTCAAAGGGCACCGCCGATTGGATTAGAGCCGAGAGCCGACTGTGGCAGATAGCCACGAGACCAGGGTGCCAAGGCACCCACCCACCCCACTCACCCCACCCACCCCACTCACCCACCCCACTCACCCACCCACTCACCCACCCACCCACCCCACTCACCCACCCACCCACCCACCCACCCCACTCACCCACCCACCCCACTCACCCACCCACCCACCCACCCCACTCACCCACCCACCCACCCACCCACCCCACTCACCCACCCCACTCACCCACCCCACCCACCCCACTCACCCACCCCACTCACCCACTCACCCACCCCACTCACCCACTCACCCACCCATACCCCACCCACCCCACTCACCCACCCCACTCACCCACCCACTCACCCACCCATACCCCACTCAAACATACCCCACCCACCCCACTCGCCCACTCACCCCACCCATACCCCACCCACCCCACTCACCCCACTCACCCACTCACCCACCCACCCCCACCCACCCCACTCACCCACCCATACCCCACCCACTCCACTCACCCACCCCACCCACCCCACTCACCCACCCCACTCACCCACTCACCCCACTCACCCACCCATACCCCACCCACCCCCACCCACCCCACTCACCCACCCATACCCCACCCACC